AATAAAACGTATTTGGGCCTTTTTGTAGCTAGCAAGGTCCTGCAGAATGGTATTATTTTCATGGAAAAAGGAAAAGTCTGAAGAAGAGGAAAGTCTTGTGTTATTAAACATTTATTTTTGCCTCCGTCCCCTAGACTGTACACAGTAGATTTATTTATTTATTTTTGTTTTATTTCACCGTCCAATGGCAGAAGTCAATACAAAGGAGGGTGTGTAAGCCAGCCATGGCAAGAGAAGAAAACGAAAGAAAGAAGGAAAGAATATGATAATAGGAAGAAAAGAATGCATCAGCGGGGTTAAATTTATCAGTATGTTGACCATGGTGGAGGTAGATGGCCTGTGTTAGGATGAGGCCTGTGCAGTTCACAAGAGAGGCAGCGCCCATTCCAACTGCAAGGCAGTGGATCAGGCTAGAGCTTATCAGGCTGGTAGTTGGCTCCTTCCCACATTTTCGTTTGCGTGTGTACGTGCATGTATGTGTGTTATTTTGTGGCAGATATCAACGAGTGTCTTCTGCCCTCACCACCCTGTGACTATAAAAGGTGCATCAATGAGATGGGAAACTATACATGCTGCCAACTCGGGTATATCGCCAATAGGACAATGCTGAACAGTGCCGGGATTGAAGAATGTACAGGTTAGTAATGTGGATCTTCATGCAGCTTTAATTCCAGGCCTGGGATCGAGAAGTGTACAGGTTTAACCTGTACATGCCGAAGCAGTCTTTGATTGGTCCCGCCATAGCCTAGCCTTTTCATACAGTTTGTGTATGATATGGAGGGTATACACATAGCTTTTCATACAGTTGGTGTATGATATGGAGGGTATACACATAGCTTTTCATACAGTTTGTGTATGATATGGAGGGTATACACATAGCTTTTCATACAGTTTGTGTATGATATGGAGGGTATACTGTGGTGTACACATGACCTCCCCATCAGTGTACACGTCGGTCACCAAAAAGTTGATCCGGCCACCGCCTGACCGGCCTGACCAGATTGGAAGCTACACATGCTGCCAAAGCGACGATCTTCATTCAGATCTTCATTCATTCGCACGTACCACATGGGCAGCAACTAGGCATGTAGTCAATGAAGAATTTCACGATTTGAACTCTTGACAACAGAGCAGGCTTGAATTTCGGTCAGCGTTTATGTGAACCGAGAGAACAACAGATCAGATATCTGTGCGAGCCTTTTTTTTTCTTATCTATAATTTGATAATAGCACTTCATCTGATAGGATACTCAGCACAACCGAACATACCGATCTGGTCATCATGGCGATTGTATTGTGAATATTGTACACTTGCCAGTAGCATTCATGATCTAGGCCGCGCCAACTAACTAATCAGCAAGCCTTAGCCAGCCAGAGCCGCAGGTCTCCATTCAGACTTCAGACAACATTGACAGCTCGCTTTTGCTTCGTCTCCTTCAGTATCGTTGTTGTTTTCAAAAACGAGGCAACTCTACCATCGCTGGGTGGCGGAGAGTTGCTGGCCGTAATCTAGGGACCCTGGTTTGATTCCTTGCGGTGAAATTCAACATTTTCCCATTATCCGATTCTATCAACCTAATGAATATGAATAACATGTCCGGTTCTTGATAGAGTAGTGTAATGCCATATGCAGCCCCCCCCCCCCCATGAGCCAGAGCGTGCTAAAACACGACCACAGCTTTTCTAAAGTCGAAAAATCGGGTTTGAATTCCGCAGCAAAAAAATACGAAGTGCAGCGCAACGCGAGTCGCTGTTGGTGCTCTCCTAGGTTGACTGGACTCTTCCAGATGCATTTCTTTGTTGCAAGTAAGTTTATTTGTTTGAGTTTGTATGCCATGTTGCGCTGAGTCGCCTAAAACTGATCGTCATCGATGTATCGAAGGAAGAGCCTAATGTACTACGGAGCAGAAGAAGACTACATTGTACATCCTCGCACTCCATGCGCAGGCGAAATCTTTTGAGGATTTAAAACGGAAACAGAAGGAATACGATGATGGCTACAGCAACGCCTCATTTGAGGGCGACACTTTCATCGAGTGTTAAAAGAATTGATGCATGATTGCCCGTTTGACTTGCAATGTTAAATAAAAGCAATACAAAATAATACAATGACAACCTGGCAAGCTATTGGCATCGACACTGACTTGGGAGGTGAGTCGGCCGATGATTTGGCCAGAGTGGACATCGCTGCACATATCCGGGACAATGCCAGTGTTGGTTGCAAGTGCAAAACCAATCAATGGACTCTGCTGCTCCTTCAAGTGATACTTGGAGTACTAGTACCCTTATGCGGAACATCGCAAGCACGAGCAGTGGGCAGCAAAAACAGTACTCTCTGGCGAGCGGAGAAGACCGTGTGCAGATGGGCTTTGGTGTGGAGAATATTAGTGCGACGCCGAGTCTGTTGAGGAAGACTGTGCGCAGCAGTGTATACTGTATATCTGAAAGTACGGGTGGAGTGTGATGGAGAGGATGCGGAGTGCCAACGTCTTCGGACGTCTACAGATGTTGACGGTGTTTTCGCTGGCGGTTCTCCAGTGGTGCTCCAACCAGGAGGTATTTCGGACACCCAGCTCGGCTGCCTATATAAATTTTGGATGTGGCCGAGTACCTGTCAGCTCATGCTATAAGACCCTGGGCAGAGGAACTGACCCGGAAAGGATGAACTGAGGGACATAATTATCAGCTGTATGCAAAAATGACAATCCCACTGCTGTACAATGTACATAGATTTTCACCATTTCAAAAGTGCTGCATATAATACCATTGTAGCAACACTTAGACATGTCAGATCAATCCAAAACTTTCACACAGTGAACATTAGGTGTGTTTGATCATTTTTGAACAAAAACTGAAATCGAAATTTTGGTCTGTGGTCATATTTTAGCGTCTTCTGGCTCACATGATGTTGGTATTCGATTTACTCTGTACTTGGTTTAATTAACTCGGATTTTCACCCTAATTCTGTACTTGATCGATAATTTCATTTTGCACGCACCCGTCAACCCCCTGTCCCCAAGATGGCTCACTGCCTAGCCACATATCTCGGTTCTACCACAAACTGAATGGGGACATTCTCCAGTAAAAAAATGTACTCTCTAATCAGGTGTCTGATGGGTGTTTTGAGCACTAAACTATGATTAACGGCAGAGAAGGTCGCTGCTGTCTAAGTATTGTACTCTCTATTCATCACCACACTTGAGTTGTGATTTCAAGTACGGCTTAAAAGTGCATTGAGTGACCTAAGTAAAATATGAGTTCGACCACGGTCCAGAGTTGCAGGTCGGTAATTCACTCCTTTGCTGCCTTCACACATCGTTGAAAACTCTCTTTGTTTCTTCTCCTTCAGCACAAGCATGCCCACACCTTGGTGTTCTCAGAGGCACCGTCACCGACATAACCCCTGTGTTGAAGAGATTGTCCTGCAACCCAGGCGTGGAATTCAAGCCTGGCACACCAACACTGCAGTACTGTGACGGTGAACGCGCTTGGCCGTCATGCTGGGGTAAGTGATTGAGAAGTGCATCGTTTAATGATTTTGACCGTTATCTTGCATGGCATAATTCATTCCACCTTGTCTTGTGTAATGAGCAGAAGGGTGAGCTTCACTTTGCGGCGAGAGAACATTGTCGGCCATTTGAGCCGATGGAGCAGTGTTGAATGATTCAGAGGATTGTAGAGGGGGAGACGGAGGCAGATTCTGGCCGCCTTGCGCTTGATTCGCTCAAGACGGTCAAGGGCTGCGATTGAGAGTGGGGTGACAGCAATGCATGCATGTTCAATTATAGGCAGGATATATGTTTGTTAATGAGAGAGAGTGATTTAGTGTGTAGAGTTGATTTGAGCCTAAAGAGAATATTAATAGATTTTACGGTTTTCTTCAGCACAAAGTCAAGGTGGGCTGACCATCTTAGGTCGTGCTGAAAGATGATGCCGAGGTGACAATGTTGTGTTACTGTTTCTAGTAGGGTTTGCCCAAGTTTTATTTCGGGTAGTCGTGGTGGGGTCGGTTAGCATGGTAGAACGGGAGGATGACGGTTTTTGTTTTATTGACTAGCAGGTGCCAGCGCTCTAGCCATTCTGCTGCGGCATCCACGCTTCTTTGTAGCGCAGCCTCGCACTCAATGTAGCTGCCTGCAATGGCAATTAGTGCGGTGTCGTCCGCGAACTGGCTACACGAGGTTGTAGCATTTTTACAGGCAGTGGGCAGGTCAATGGTGTACGCCAGGAACAGAAGTGGTCCCAGGACCGAGCCCTGGGGCACTCCCGCTGGTATTGGTATGAAGGCGGATGTTGTGCCTTCAACTTTGGAGTTGGGAGGGCGATTGATTTGAGAAACCATATTCAGAGTGCCAAGTAGTCACAATTTCCAAACACCACTGTGCTAAGAATTCTTTTTTTAACCCGAACAGATATTGATGAATGTAATCTGAAGACCCACAACTGCAGTAGCCAGTCAGCAACATGTGCTAATAACTATGGGTCCTATGTATGCGAGTGCCGTCCAGGGTTTAAAACCTGGAATGGCACTGACTGTCAAGGTATTTCCCAGCGCTCGTGATGTTATCTTATATCAGGTTAATGATCATCTTGAGGCTGTGCTGCAATGTTTCAATCTACTAAACTGACCAAACATCTTACCCTGACACAACTCCCTTCGGTCCCAACGTCCTCTCCTGACACAACATCCCGCCCTGACACAACATTCTTCTCTGACACAACATGCCACCCTGGTCTGTTGACATGCTATTCAATACGCACGTGTGTTCGTAGATCATTGAAATTGTCACAGTTGGGGTTAAAGGGGAACTCCACGAAAAAATGAAACTTTGATAGCCTGTAGAGTTTCGGGCGCTGAGTCGAATGGTCTTGGTCCGAAGTCTCTACGACGAAGCGTTCTTGAGATATTTCACTTTGAAATTGCAAAAACGGGGGCCGCGCCCTGACGTCATGCGGCCATTTGGTTACATCATCACGGGCTGCCTACATCATTGTGGCAAAGTCGTTTCTCTTCGCCAGTCTACAAGCACTAATTTTAGTTGGTATTTCAAGGGAAGATGGGCGATTCCGAACAATCCTCTGTCCCCAGCAATGAAGGCAGCGATGCTGAGGCCAGTGAGGACGACCAACAGCCCACCGCCGCGTATGGTTGGGGCAGGGAGCCCAGATACTCTGCTGAGGAGCTGCCATCGCGTGTAACAAATGTGGAGGAAGAAGATGCGTCAGCAGCTGCGTCTGACAGAAGACGAGTAGCTTGGCCACCAGAATCTCGATTCGTTTGGGACTCCGACTGGTGCGAGCGTGGACAAAAGTGTATAGCCATGCCCAGCCCGCGGGAATGATTTTGCTGGTAGGATGCTGCCGTCGCTGTCGACAAGACGGCCCAAGGTTTCTTGCGTAGCGGACCTCGCAGATTACGAGATCGTATCCTTGCATTAGGCTGTGCTCATCACTGCTCTTCGAGGTTATCTCGACATGCAGAAGCCGCCAATGCCAGTGACAGAAGAGTCTGACATTAGGTAAGCCTCAATTTAATAGTTTGCCTTGACTTGTCTTGTGAGGATCGCGTATCAGCATGATACACTTATTTTTATTTTTTGGGGAAATTGATTGTTGTCAGGCGCACTACAGTAGGCGTCGCACAAGAAAGACATTGTACTGGTAGTTATCACAAGTTTCATGCATGACACAAACAAATTTCTCTTTGCTCCGAGTATGTCTTGACTTATCTTGTGAGGATCGATGCGCGTAATGTTTTGTGTGTAACTAATTATTGTTGTCAGGCATAGCACGAACAACGTTGTTCTGTACTATAGACCGTGCTATCACAAGTTTTCATGCATGACTCACATTTGTCTTTGTCATTTTCCCTTGGATTGGTACAAGATCTACAAAGTATGGTAGGTAGTGTTCTGTTGGTGAAGAGAGCACTGCACACAGTTTATGAGCACCATGGGTGCATTAATTTTGATCACACCCGAACCCATACTTTATCGTTTCAAGCGATAGACGTTGTCAATAAACTCGTTTTCTAGTATACCATGGCATGCAACGTACAAGCGTGGGGTCAAGAAAGCGTACACCAAAATAATGCACAAATTCTGGCAGGAGAGTAAGAAATCTGTACTTTCTGACCAAGACATCTCTGTACTAGTAGGTAATCGAACGCGTCCTAATCAGTATTCATCCCCCAGATCATTGGAATTCAATTTGATATCAGCAATTATGGTAAATTCTACAAGACCCTCCATCTTTGTACCAGTGGACACTAAATTAATATGGCGCGCGCACTGAAAGTGCAGGTAGGTACCGGTAGGTGCAATACAGCGCATATGTAGAGTAAATGAGTATTTGACTATAATAATTATTACGGTACAGCAATGTGGTATGTGTACAAGCACTCATCATACACATTCCATATGACATTCTGTGTTTGTGTAGATCTCTACGCTATGCGGCACACAGGCAGTACACACTATGTACACGGCAAATTGGGCAAGCACGTTCGTTGTCGTCTTCCAGCCTGCGTTGTGAATACCATCAGGCAAAGATATCCAAATCCTGCACCACCTCAGCCTTCTCAGGAGGCTTCCACCTGGAATTTGGCAGGGAAACACGCTTCTCCAAGGCAGGAACATGGAGGTTGCCATTTGCAACCGCTACCACCTCACACATGAGCTTGTCAACATACTCATAGCTCTTTCTGTCGTATAATTTTCTATTTGGCCACAGTCTTCTTTATGCTTTGAGAACTGGACTTTATACCTTCCTATCGCGGTCTTTTTGGTTGTGCTGTGGCGACGGTTGACATTGACGTCGTCAAGAGCTGCGAGATGTGCGTGTCCAATCATCCCCAGAATTGAGAAACGAATGCGTTTGAGAATGTAGTTTGGCATGACACTGTGATATACCTGCATGGGAAAAAGAATGTGGAGAAAACACACTTGCTTAGACAATATGAGCCCCGGCCAGCGAAAACCAGCACTTGTGTACTTGATATCAATCATCAAAATGTGACGTCCAAGTTTGGGACGCGCAGTGAGCTGGCTTTTGAAGATTCTTTTTCGATCGAGTGGGTGTCTTTGTTGTCAAAGGAGTTTCAAGTGTCTTCAAATGTCTCTGGTCAATTGATTTCAGCGCTAGGTGAGACCTCCTCAAACGGAGGTTGAGTTTAGACACAGCGATGGCGACAGGTGTCGCGACAAGGACTTAGGTCCAGAGTTGTCAGCGTCAGACTCCCTGTACGAAGCGGCGCTGAAAGTTAGTTCGCGATCGGAATTATTTCTTTGGTGACGATCTCGCTGAGTTTGTCCAGCAGTGGCGAGTCTCATATGCATAGCAACGAAGAGCCCTCATAAAATCCACACTGGATACTGGTGGCGACGATAGTCAGTGCTGGAGTAATAGCGACTGCGAGGAGAGGCTAAATGTCGACCCGCTGAGCGATCCGTATTTCTACATCGACAACAATGATGTTGCAGACACTGATGGAGGGCTTCTCACGTCGCAAAACAGAGCGTAGTATTATCAGTACTCTACCTTGCCAGACGACGCCAAGCTGGCTGCTGCCTGTGCTGAGAAAGGGGATTCCTAAAAAGTCAAACCGGCTGAACGCTTTGGGGCAACATCTTCACGTGCTACAAAACGCGAGTATTCACTCATATCATTGAAATACAATTATGCTGAAATCATGATCAGAGTGAAAGTGTGCAAAGGAGTGGATGTCAGTGGTATTGGTCAGTACATCTATCAGTATGGCAAGCTTTGGGACAACACTCAAACTGCCCGCACAGAGGTCCCTGAACACAATTTGGAAGGCCAGCCACCAATCATCGTTTTGCACTCTGGTGTTGTAAAGAAGGTAGTGGTCTATACGGAATATCGTCACACTTCTAAACTACTCATGCCTGCAGCACCAAGAGGGCAAGCCTGACTTGCATTCTATTTACTTACATGTACCTGTTCCACATCACAATCAGAAACTGTAGGATCAACTTGCATGGAGTCACTGGGCATGGATGCTGCGCCAACTGTACCGAATCTTGACCTGTGTGACTTCAAACTCTATTTTTCATGCTTTCGCTTATCAGATTGTCACCAAACTTGATAACTTGAATGATTAATAGTGTAGAATCAATTTCGAGCGAAAAAATAATTTTTGAAAAATTACACATGTTCAGGTTTCTGCTGGCTGGGGCTCATATACTGCTGTATGAGAAAATGGAAACTTCACCGTACAGGACGACTCTTGTTCTCAATTGCATTGTTCGTTTCATTCCCTGTGTTGCCCATAAGAGACGGGAGCAAAAATGTTGCAGCAGATGTTTGTTGTCTTCTGGCGTGGAGTGGCGGCGTCATTAGATGTACACATAGTCATTTCACTAAGTATACCACTACTACAGCATATGTACTATCCTTAGGCTAGCGTGCGTGCGAGTGAGTTTGAGTATGTGGGTGCGTATGTGTGTGTGTGTTGTTGTGTTTGTGTGTGTGCACGCACACGTACGCGCGCGCATGTGGGTGATGGTGTGAGTGCATGTGTATAATATGTGTAGCTCCCACTGTATTCCTTGCACAATAGGTCTTCACTTACTTTTCTTTCGCATACAACCAGAACCCATTCCTTGTTCGAAATTAGATTTTTTTTGGCCTGGTGATCCCGCAAGCGTGAAACTTGGAGTGTAATATATTTTTGTTTCACTTTACTTGCACTATTCCAAGGCTGTCCAGACTTCTAACAATTGCTCTGAGTGATATGGTATTCATGCAACCATGCCTAGAAGTAGGGTAGCTGTTATAAATAGAGACATATCCACGCAATCAACTTACACTGGTTCAGTTTGGCAGGATTGGTGAGACAGTTCGTCGTGCATGCTGCCTGCACATCGCAAGCAAACAGTTCTGTAACCTTCGTACTTGCTGGGGTCTGTCTGTTTGCGTCCCAGTTGATGACAGATGTGCACAGTTTGAGTACTGGTATGCGCAAAGTTACTGGGGTAATATCGTTCATCAGCTAGCTGCAGTCGGAGCTGGTGGGGTGATGTACTCTTCTGATCCTGATGGGACGTATCTCGCCCTGCTTTCTCAGTTGCAGCTTGTTGAGTTCGCTTTGCTGGAGGCTCACGGTTCGGAGGGCACTGGTACACTGATGAGGGCTTTCCTGGACGGCGTACTCGTCAAAACTCAGCTCTCAAGTCCCTCTGGATCATAAATGCAGCGAGCAAACATAGCTCGTGCTGCGAAAATAGGCTTGAAATTTTCACGACGCATTGCAACATCTCGGCGCTTTGCCAGGTCTCCATCCTTTGAGAATTTGAGAAAACTAACCCCAGGAGGATGATGTGATACTGGCACAATCAACAACACAACAATTTGGCATTGCAGCGGCTCAGGCGACTTGGCAAACTACTTTCTGAAGTGACTTTCGTCCTGAAGAAAGTGAGATTCAAAATCCAAGTATTTTCGCACATTGCCACAATGACGTCACACATACATTGGTATGGGGCGTGGCTAAAATTGAAATATCTCAAGAACGCTTTCTCGTAGAGACTTCGGACCAAGACCATTCGACTCAGCGCCCGAAACTCTACAGGCTATCAAATTTTCATTTTTTCGTGGAGTTCCCCTTTAAGTATTCCTTGAGTACATTGGGTACATCATTGTGGTCATATTTCACATCGATTCAATACATTTAGAGATGTCCCGTAAAGTGGCACGACGGCGCTGCCTCTTTAACCTACGTCTGAGTCATAGGCAGCGAAACCAGGGATAGGGGATATTTGCCTACAATTATACTTAGTGTTCATAGTTTGATAGCAGCATGAAACAAGGTGGAGGACACCGTGTTCGGAAACAGCGACCTTTCTACAACCTTCCTCACGGTTGGTAGAGCCTCGGTCTATTGAGACCATCTGAACCATATTGGTCCTGGACCCGGTGCCGGCCCTCTTTATTCTAAGGCTGTGTTTACATGAAGCGTTTCAACCCGGGTCAGATTTCAACCCGCGCTGTACACAAAATGAATGGCGCGTTTACATGACGCATTGCGCTTGACCCGGGTTGAAATTTTGCATCTAACTCAAATTAAACTGGCAATAAATAAGATAAATTGTGCACTCATAACAACAGCAAAAATGAAGAAAGTCAAGTTCCATAACGTTTTCTTGTGACTGTCATCAGTGGAACGCCGTCACATAAAAATGTAATAACTAAAACACACACTTATATACATGTAGCTAATATGGTTTCAAGTAGAAATATAGCAGCTAACAAGTACAAAAAGCGAAGTTTGCACCTTTGCAATGTGTGAATATAGTGTATGTGAGAAAGGCAGTGGCAGATGAATGTGATACTGTGTGAATGAATGTAATGATGCGTGTGTATTACTTGAATAGTGTGAGTGATACAACGTTTTCTTTCTGTTTACATAGCACAGGGTCACGAGTACGAATATACACACAGTATCACATTCATCTGCCACTACCTTTCTCACATACACTATATTCACACATTGCAAAGGTGCAAACTTCGCTTTTTGTACTTGTTAGCTGCTGTATTTCTACCTGAAACCATATTAGCTACATGTATATAAGTGTGTGTTTTAGTTATTACATTTTTATGTGACGGCGTTCCACTGATGACAGTCACAAGAAAACGTTATGGAACTTGACTTTCTTCATTTTTGCTGTTGTTATGAGTGCACAATTTATCTTATTTATTGCCATTTTATGACTATTGTCTCCTCGTCGATTGTTTAAATCCCTGCTGCTTCACTTCGGACTGCTGTTTGGTGTCGAGATATTTTTCAGCGCCGTCTTTGAGCAGCCTTTGTAAGAATAGACTGTTTTGCAACGATTGCAAGTATCCTTGTTCTTCGCTGCATCGCGGGAGAACTTCCAAACGACTGAGCGTAACTTTCACTCGAATGCAGCGTTGACCAAAGCGTGTCCTGCAACAGGTTAGCAGATGCGGAACAAGACATCAGTGGCGTCCACCAAAGCTGCAACGACAACTGAAACAACTTAAGTGTCGTGCAGGTATACAGCCACTGTAACTGCGAGTGATTTTAACTTTGCTCGGGACTGGACTCTCGATCGACCAGAGAGTTGTACAATAGTTTACGACTCCCTGATAGAAATGTACTGAAATATGTACGGAGTATGGTGTACGGTGCTCGTTAGTGCAAACGAGCTGGCCGCACAAAAGAGCCGAGTTTCTGGCGAGCGAGCTAACGAGTACCCGGTGAGATTGTTTCAACACTAGATTTTTATGTTATTCAAAATCGATTTTCGTGTTCCGCTCATAAGTGAATAGTATCAGAACTGAGGGTACTGTGTACAAAAAATAGAACATTTTATAACAGCATAATTAAAAGTGTGAACAAAAAAGGGAAGTGCTACAGCATTACATAATATGTGTCAAACATAGTGCTAGCATATATAACAGAGTGCGGGCACAAAGCATGACGTGATACTGTAAGACATGTTATTATAACGAGTCGCAAATTTAACGAGTGTCCAAAATTCATAGGTTAACGAGAAGATATGTTAACGATCTTGTAGTATTCTGCCATATCCATACACAGCATATATGAAGCAGTACGGCCTCAACGGATCTTATTATAACGAAGAAATGTCATCCGTTAAAACGTTAGATTTACTTCCTCGTTATATATACATGTCTTACAGTACAGTGCAACATGACACAACATTTACATCTGATAACCAGCTACGAGAACAACTTTAGCGCGACTACATGCTTCTTTTGTTTA